CTGGAGTACAGTGGCACAAATCATGGCTCACTGCAGCCTCAAACTCCTGGGCTCAAGGAAGCTTCCTGCTTCAGCCTCCCAAGTAGCTGGGACTACAGATCACCACGTCCAGCTAATTAAAAATATATATGTTTGTAGGAATGGAGTCTCCCTATGTTGCCCAGGCTGGTCTGGAACCCCTGGGCTCAAGCGATCCCCCTGCCTCGACCTCTGAAAGTGCTAGGATTACAGGTGTGAACCATTGTGCCCAGCAGAATTTTTATTTTATTCATATATACACACACACACACACACACACACACACAATTTATAATATATATGTTGAATTTTTATTTTATATATAAAACAACTATACGCTTCAAATTAGCATGCACATTCTCCATTGTATTACTTCTCCATTAGTAACACCTGTGGACCCAGCCTCGGACTCATTTCAGGTGCAGTCTGAGTCCACAGTCCCCATGGTGCTACTTGTTCCAGTGGTTAAATAGATTTGTCAGTGAGCAGCAGTAGCAGAATGATGATGAAGATGAGGAAACTTTTCTCCCATTCCTTCATTCTCTGTTTCTGCTTTTGGAATTTTTATGTTTAAAGTTTTAAATAAGATAGAGTGTTGGTTACTATTGAAAGTCATTTTGTCACATAAAGGAAGGAGGTCTTCAATGTGTCATCTGCTGGGTGTGCCACTGCTGTGGGACAACTGCTTTCACCAGTGTCACTTAAGCATGGAACCTCATACAGACAGAAGCATAACACTTGTGAACATATTCAGCATTTTAAAAACAATCTATTTACTCTCTCAGTGACCCCCTGCCCCCCATACACTATTGCTTATTTCACTATGTTCCCTTCCACATTCCACAATATATACCAAAACCACTAGTCCCACCACCCTCCTTGCTTAAAGATAGGTTCTTGCTGTGTTGCCCAGGCTGGTCTCAAACTCCTGGGCTTAAATGAGCCTCCTGTCCCAGCATCGTTAGTAACTGGGACTACAGATGTGCTACCACACCCAGCTTGCTGGACTGTATTTGATTTAATAGTCTTTCAGAACAACTTGATTACATCAAAATCAACTGGCATAATGTTAGCTCACAGTGTATTCATAACACATGAATACTCCCTTTCAAAGCTGGGAATTTAAAGTTGAAAGAAAAAAATAACTTCTAATGCACCTTTTCTTGTCAACAAAAACTTATTGCAGCATCGTTGGAAAGCATCCTAAATATTCACCAGTAGAGCGTGTTTGAAATTATGGTGTTTTGGCCTGGCATGGTGGCTCACGCCTGTTATCCCAGCACTTTGGGAGGCCAAGGTGGGTGGATCATGAGGTCAGGAGTTCAGGACCAGCCTGGCCAAGATGGTGAAACCCTCTCTCTACTAAAAATACAAAAATTAGCCGGGTGTGGTGGCAGACGCCTGTAATCGCAGATACTCAGGAGGCTGAGGCAGGAGAATTGCTTGAACCCAGGAGGCGGAGGTAGCAGTGAGCTGAGATTACACTACTGCACTCCAGCCTGGGTGGCAGAGTAAGGCTCCATCTCAAAAAAAAAGAAAAATTACCGCATATCTGTGCCATAGAACCGTATGCAGCCAGTAGAAAGTGTGGCTGTTCATTATTTTAAATGCCTGTTCTTTATAATACTGAAATTCCATATTAGTACTATATGAGTTTTAAGGTGTGTGTGTGTGTATATATATATGTTTAATTTTTAGAAAAGTTAATGTGCTACTGTTTGTGTGAAAAAGGAGGAATGTATGTCCTTGAATATTTAAGTGGTAAATATCTCTGAAAGGACACGAGAAATGGATAACGCTCGTTACCCTTAGGGAGGTTGACAAATTTGGGGGTCAATGCCTTTTTTACAGTTTTAATTTTCCCCCTCTATTTACCACATGCATGTTTTTACTTAAAAAAAAAAAAAAATCCCGGAACGTTTTGGCACAAGCTGCATCATAATAGTAAGAGCATTAATTTCGCCACCATAAAGCACCTGAGCTGCTGTTCACAGCAAAGTATTCTAAGGTGGCAGCAAAGCAAGGCAGCGGCAGTTTTTGAAGCTTTCCACCACCATGTGGAAAGCTCAGTGGGAATTCCAGTGTTCAGAGCCCTTGTGTGCCTGGAGTATATGGTAGCCCTTTGCCCCTGGAGGTTGGAGCTCAGTTAGACCCGGGGGTCTCATCAGCCTTGGGAGCTCAGATGTTGATCTCAGTTAGGGAAAGACATGCATGATTTCCTGCTGAGCTGCTCTTTTGTGGAGCCAAATGTTAAACCTTTGAATGTGAGAAAAATGCACACCTGGGTATTTTTATTTGTTTATGATCTATACCCCATAAAATCAAAAAAGCAGAATGTGAGAAAACTCACTACATTTATGGGTAACGTAAAACTGGATAAGTACAAGTTAAAGCAGATTGGAAACCAATAAAAGGAACTGTACCCTGACTGCTAGTAGCTATTAGAAGCACCTGGGGCAAGTTAATTACTGTAGTTGAACTCTGAATTTAGCTTTGAATTTTGGGCACATAAGGTGAAAAGGGGAATGTGGAGTACATGGTTCTCTTTGTTTGTAGGCAGAAAATAGGAAGTTTTGCCTAAGGAGATGGACATTTTCCTAAAAACCAATTGAAGAAAGAGATTTAAATGCAGGTATTTATTTTAAAGGATATAAGATGACTTGTCTTAGTGGTTAGTGCCTGTCAAGGTACAAAAATTAGCCAGTCAGAATCTGCCAAATCTGGTGCAATTTGGTGCCTCACACCTGTAATCTCAGCACTGAGAGTGGCTGAGGCAGGCAGATCACTTTAGGCCAGGAGTTCGAGACCAGCCTGGGTACCATTGCATAAGTCTGTCACTACTAGAAGTACAAAAAGTAGTTGGGTGTGGTGGCACATGCTTGTAATCTCAGCTACTTGGGAGGCTGAGGCACTAGAATCTATTGAACCTGGGAGGTGGAGGTTGCAGTGAGCCTCACATCACTGCACTCCAGCCGAAGTGACAGAGCCCGACCCTGTCTCAAGGAAAAAAAGCCAAACCTCACAAAATGTAAAATCTCATTTGAGTATGAGATCCATGTACCTCTGCTTCAGCAGCCATCATAGCAGCCCACATTTTATCATCTGTTGCCTGAACTGCTATAATGGCTCCTGGTATATGTATACATTCTCCTGCTCTCTCCTGGAGTCTTCTCCGAGCTGTGGTCAGAGGTGCCTTTGAATACAGAGCTGACTGTGCCCTGTCACTGTTCCAGGCCTGTCCGCTCACTGTCCCCTTTGGTCTCAGGATATGAGATCCAAGCCCTCCCACCTCCCCAGCTTTCCTTCCATCCTCTCTCTCTTGCTGTTTCTTTAGTCCTTCTTTCTGGCTGTGCACCCTTTGAGTACCCTATTCTCTCTTATGGAATGTTCCTTCTTGCCTAAGCCTCATCTTTCTTGGGATCTGAACTGCATCATCACCAGAAGTGCCCCTGACCTTGGGGACCCACTCCCCACAGATTGTGCTCGTATCCCCCTGTACCTCTCTCCCTGGTGCTTAGCTCTGTGTTGTATGCTCCTCATTTACTCATAAGTGTCAGGAGAGCAGGCCCTGGCTCAGCTTTTGCTTGTTCTTATCTCCAGCTCTGAACACCATGCCTGATGTGGAGCAGTGGGTTGGTAGATATTTGAGGGAAGGAAACTATTACTCCGTGGCCGTCTTGGTTTGTTTTGTGCTGCTACAACAGAATGCCACCGCCTGGGTAATTTATAAAGAACAGAAATTTATTTCTCACATTTCTAGAGGCTGAGAAGTCCAAGATCGAGGCTGCCGCATCTGGTGGAAGGCAGACGAAGGGCCAGAGAGAGCCAACTTACTCCTGGAAGCCCTATGTATAGCAGCATTAACCCATAAGCAAGGACAGAGGCTCAACACCTAAACCCCTCCCAGTAGGCCCCGCCTCTCAACACTGTTGCACTGGGGATTAAGTTTCCAATGTATGTATTTGGGGAGCACATTCAGACCACAGCGGTGATCCAAACACTGCAGCAGCCAGTTTCTCCAGTGGACACTGCATCCTACTGAAGACATTTCTTTCTGAAACACAGTACTAATCACATCACTTCCTTAGCACTCAAGCTCTGAAGGGGTCTCCATGTCCTACAGAATATAATCTATACCCCTTTTTAGCTCCGCATAACCTGTACCCTAGTTGCACTTCCAAACTCCCAGTCTAAGGTCCTTAGTCCATGCACAGAAGCTAGAATTCAGCACTCCAGGCCTTGCCTGCACTGTACCCCCAGCCTTCCCTGCATGTGCCAATCTAAATCATTCCTGAACTGAGACCTCCAGTGGAAAGTCATGCCTTCTATTGCTGGAACTCTAAGTATCTTCTACATGGTACTTATTTTCTATCTGAATTATAGTTATTTTATTTATCTTCCATATTAGTTGTAGCCAAGACCTGTACATTGTTTAGCATGAACGTCTCATAGTAGGTACTTAATAAAATGTGTTAAATAAATGGCAACTTATGTTCATTATTTAACATCTTTGTAAGCCAGTCTTTAATAGGAACCATTTCCCCTCCAGATACTCTAATTTTTAATAAAGTGTGTGTATGTGTGTGTGTGTGTGACAGATTGCTAGTCAGCTGCAGTCTCTTGTTTTTCAAAAAAAATCTCTGAAGATGACTGAATATGAATCCAGTTGATATCCTGCTTTCTGTGCATACTTCAGAGACCTTGTGGATCTTTTATTGCAAGGTAGTATTCTGATACTGAATGCAAGAAAGTAAAACAAAATCAATACATGTAGCATGTCATTTCAAGAGAGGACTGTCCAAATTAGCACCCTCTTCAAAAAATGAGATGGGCATTGAACTTGTTTCTAGATGAGCATCACCTTCCCAAGCCAGCCGCTGTCTTCATTCAGCCAAGTGGAGCTCTTACTCTGAAAGTTAATGCTTGGTGCCATGACTCCTGGGATGAGAGAATAACCCACACCTCCATTTCCTTTCCAACAGGCTGATTTAAACTGCAATATTCAAGATGATGCTGGGGCTTTTTATGGTGTAACCAGTCAGTACGAGAGTTCTGAAAATATGACAGTCACCTGTTCCACCAAAGTTTGCTCCTTTGGGAAGCAAGTAGTAGAAAAAGTAGAGGTAAGTTGGCCTCTCTATACTGGAAACTTCGTTCAAGGCAGACTGTTGCCTTCCTTTGAACCTTCCTTGGGGCAGAGAGCTGTACTTTTTGAATGTCTCCTTCTTACCTTCTGTATTAGTTTGTTCTCACACTGCTATGAAGAAGTACCTGAAACCGGGTAGTTCATGAAGAAAAGACTGCATTGACTCACAGTTCCACAGGCTTAACAGGAACCATGATTTGGGGGTTTAAGGAAATGTAGAATGATGGTGGTGGAAGGGGAAGGGAAAGCAAGGCATGTCTTCTCATAGCAGCAGGAGGAAGCGGGGTGGGAACCACCACACACTTTTAAACCATCAGATCTGGTGAGAACTCCCACAGTATCATGAGAACAGCATGGGAAGAAACCGCCCCCATGATCCAATCACCTTCCACCAGGCCTCCTGTAATCCCCTCCTCCGATGTGGGGATTACATTTTGAGGTGAGATTTGGGTGGGGACACAGCCAAACCTTATCACCCTCCTTCTTTCCCCCACTTCTTGTTCCTGTTTCTTCTAAAAGGCAAAGTGATTTGGAAGCACCTGAAAGGAAGCAAATGGGAAGTCCTGTGCCAGCCCTCTGTGTCTAAAGTCGGCTGTACCCTGCTCAGCCAGTGCTGTGCACCTCCGTGTGAGGCCTTGTGGGGTAGCCTGGCATGAAAGCTGGATTGAGATAGGCTCTGCCAGTCAGAATGATGCACTCCCTGCACCCAACCCCTAGGTCCAATGGCACTCCCAGGCATTGTAAATAAAAGTCAAGGTGGTACTCAGATGATTGGCACCTGCCCTCTGAAACCATGACACCTTGAGTTTGATACTGTTGCTTTTGCCATTTCCACTACCTTTGTTTTTTAATTGTTTTAGATAGATTTTATTATATGTTAAGATCCAGTATCTTTTTATGGCTGTTATATTTCATTCCTTACTCCCTTTAAAAAGATGTATATTTGTTTGATCAGGGTGAGTTGCTTTGTTAAATAATGCTTGTCATTGGCATTCTTTAAATGTTGTATTTTCTAGTGTCTTCTACCCATCACCCAATTAATTGATCCATGTTCAGTGAGCAGTTTTTATTTGCAGTGGCCCTGGACCTTTCAGGTTCAAGAGCCTACCTTAGCTGTACAAAGACTGTGCGCTGAGGAGGGAGAGAAGGAGATGGGTATATTTCTTAAGACCTTGGGCTAAGCAGTGAGGATTTGGGATGCTGCAGACCTGCATAGCACAAGCCCCCTGATCCCAGGACAGGCCTTGTGAGAATGTTGTTGAGGAAAGGTTATGCTGGCAGAAGAGGATGCAGAAGAGTTGACTTAGATGGATAATTTAAGCTTAGGGGTCATGGGCTTTCCCACAGTGGTGGCAGTGGGAATCCAGTAAGACATTTTGAATGGAACTTAGAAACTAACTGGATATTAATGGGGAAGAGTCAAAAGTCACACTTACATTTTATGCTTCAAAGGACAGAACTACCACTAATAGAAATAAGGAAATAAGGTGTTCAAGAGGAAATAGGTAATGATTATAGATGCAAGGCTAGAACTTGGATGACAGGTTAAAAACTGAAAATATAAATTGGGAATCCTGGGCGTTAAGGATTGGGAATGGAGACCTAGCTGCAGAGAGGGAATAGAAAGGGCACAGGAATAAGGATTAAATTTGGAGAGTAGCCACCAGCCCTGGGATGAGTAGAGGGAGACATAAACAGAAGAGCAGAGGACAAAAATGAGTGGGGAGGAGGGGAACTGGCTCAGCGTAGCGTCTGGGAAGCCCAGGGAAAGGGGAGGTGGGAAGGTGGCTATATCATGAGACAGGGCTGGGACTCCTGGAACCAGATTACCTCCGTTTCCCCTAAGGAGGAGGAAGCAGTGTTACCTGTGGGTGATTGGGAGTATGGAAGATGGGGGTTATGCAGTGTTAGTGAATAGCTGAGTTGTCAGGGATGTTCTCTGTAGACTGAATTCCCTGCCTGGACAGGTGCATTTGAGAAAAGACGAACCACACAGCTTACTCAGTTTCCTAAATTTCAAATGGTGTCCTCAGATGATACACCCAAAGCTATATGCAAGTTCAGGAAGCAGGGAGAGGTTCATGTTGATAGATAAAATCACAGGAATTTTCATAGACAAGGTGGTATTTGCGGCAGGTGGGGTTTACATTTAAGCCTTTTATCTATTTAGAATGTTTGTCTGCATTTGGTGTGAAGTAGTAGTCTACTTATATTTTCTTCCAAATAGCCATTTGTATCAAAACCACTTATGAAGTGATTCATTCTTTTCCAGTTGAAAAGATCTGCTCCCTTTAAATTAGCATATATTCTGAGCTATTCCTGGAGTTTCTCTGTTCGAGTCCACCCACAATTTGTCTCTGTGTCATATTGATTGGATTACAGTGGCTTTATAGTATATTCTGGGATTTGATGAGGCAAGTCAGTCTCACTTTTCTTCGTTTTCATATATTTTCTAAGCTAGTAACCAACATTTATTTTTCCAAATAATTCAATCAAACATATAAAGAAAAACAAAAACCTTGTTTGAGCAATCTAATTGTAATTGCATCAGATTTAGATTTTTTGGAGAAAAATTCATATTAAATCTTTCCAATCATGAACCTCTTTGCCTTCTCATTTCATGTATTTTAATAAGATGTTATCATTTTCATCATACGAGTTTGTCTCTTTCCTATTAAATATATTTCTAAATATTATATGTTACAGTTTCCTATTTCTAAATTTGAATTAATAGAATAGAGAAAGGCTCTTGGTTTTGCATATCTGTCTTCAACATGGCCATCTTAGCAAGTTCTCATACTTAACTTTAGTTTTTCCCGCAGATTTCTGGGATAGCCTTGTATAATTAACTGATGTTAGTTGAAAAAGTTTTGGTATTTTGCCATTTAGAATTGTATTTACTGTAAGCTTTTATTAACGGTCTTTATTACTAATTTAAGTGTTTTCTTTCTATTCCTATTTTACTTAGGATTTTTATTAGTTATAGCTACAATACATTATCAAATGCCTTTCAGCATCTGTTGCTATATGAAGATTTTCTTCCAAGTTGTTGACATAAGTTAATACATTTCCTCAATGTGTATGAAACACCATAGCGTTCCTGAAACAGTCCTACTTTGGATGTGTTGCTGGATTCTATTTGCTGATATTTTACACAGAATTTTCACATTACATTTCCTAAGTAATATTCATCTATACTTTTTTTTTTTTTTTTAAGGGCATGATCTTGGCTCACTGCAGCCTTGGCCTCACTGGGCTGAAGCGATCCTCTCACCTCAGCCTCCTGAGTAGCTGGGACTACAGGCGTGCACCACCATGCCTGGCTAATTTTTTGTATTGTTTTGTAGAAATGTGGTTTCGCCGTATAGCCCCAGGCTGGTGTGGAACTCCTGGGCTCAAGCGATCTGCCCACCTCAGCCTACCAAAGTGCTAAGATTAAAGGTGTGAGCTGCCACACCCAGCTATATACTTTTTTCAATAATTTCTTTGCCAAATATCAGTCTTGAATATACACTAGATTTATAAAAAGAATAACAGTGGAAATAACTATTCTTAAAAGATTATGTAAAACTTACCCTGAAACTATTGGGTCTTTATATTTTTTTAGCATCTAATTATTTATTTGATAAAAGTTTTATATATTGTGTATAACATGTTTTGAAAAATGTATACACAGTAGAATGGCTAAATCGAGCTGATTAGCATATGTTACCTCACATAGCTTACCAGTTTTTGTGGTGAGAACACTTAAATCTTCTCTTAGCAGTTTTCATGAATATAGTAACTTGGTATTAACTATAGTCAGTATGTTGTACAGTAGATCTCTTGAGCTGATTTCTCCTAACTGAAATTTTATATCCCTGTGGTCTCCACTTTTTTCAATGGTAAGTTGCTAAACTTGTTAGTTGTGGTCATTTCCCCAATGACTGATCTATTTATTGATATTTTCCCCTTCTTTTTGATTCAGTATTAGCAAGTTCTCTTTATCTGGGAAAGCATCTCTATTCACTGGCTTTTCTTTGCTGTGTGTGTGTGTGTACATACATGGCGTGCACCTTAACGTTATGTGAAATAATCTCTTATGTATCTTCTAATTTCTACTGTAATTGTGGTTTTCCCACTTTTCTTTTTTCTCCTTTTAACTTGTGTGAAGAGTTTATTTTGTCTTTCTCAAGGACCAGTTTTAAATTCTGTCTACATTTTAAATTTCTATTTCACTGATTTGAGCTTTTATCTTTATTAATTTCGTTTTCCTGGCTTCCTTTGGTTTCTTTGTGGTTTGGGTTTTTTTTTTTAAAGGAGTGTATTTTATTCTGTAAATTTTCATCTTGATGAAGACACATGAGGCTGCTTCATTAAGATTCCTTCAAGTGCAGCTTCATTGTGGCTTATAAGTTTTGATGTAAAGTATTTCCCTTTTCATTGCTCTTTAGATAGTTTGTAATTGTCTTCTTAATTCCATGTGATCCAAGGTTATCTAGGATAACCTTGTTTCTTATTTTTGAGTTCTTGAAACTGCATATACACTAGTATTTTCTCATTTTCTTAATTTTTCTCATAAGCGCATAAACAGCTGACAGGGGCTCATGATCCATGAGAATAATCAGTTTTTTCTAAGGTACAGACATTAGCTGTATTGGTTGTTAGCCTATGAGGCTTTATCATAATAAAGTGAGATTTCCTTTGAAGAATTGTAACTAGCTGGGGCCTGCTCTTACAGATCTCCTCCAGGTAAACCATCTCCATTAGGCAGTTATATTTTTTTCTGACCTTTGCTAAAAAGATCTATATCAACTCTTCTTAAAGCTATCATCTTTCCAACTAAGTTTTTTTTTTTAATTTCCAGAAAAATAATGGATTGTATGTATAGCAATAAATTTGGAGATATTATTTTTTAAATTAAGTAGTATAGCATACAGCAGATGATTCTTGTTGAAAAACTAAAATGCTTTTGTAGGCAGTAATACCTGTTTCATGTGTTCTGGAGTCAGAAGTGTAAAAATACTCAAATCCTTTTTTCCTCACAGACGGAGTATGCAAGGTTTGAGAATGGCCGATTTGTATACCGAATAAACCGCTCCCCAATGTGTGAATATATGATCAACTTCATCCACAAGCTCAAACACTTACCAGAGAAATATATGATGAACAGTGTTTTGGAAAACTTCACAATTTTATTGGTAATGGTTTCATCTCTTTCCTGTTTGGGCAGATGCTGCCATGAGATGTGATGGGGGAAGTAAGGAGGGTGGGCCTGGGAGGCCCCAGGCTTGGGCCAAGGGAATTGACCAGGTTGTTGGATTGGGCTCCCAGTGGTCAGTCAGCAGTTGGATTTGCAGCATCCATAGGGAAAATTTGGGCTTAAGTCTGTAGAAGAGAAGGGGTTTTATCTGGCTAGGGTTTCTAAGGTTGGCAGAACTGGAATTCGGTTAGATAATAAAAAGTGATTGTCCTTTGTTCTTATCTCTGGCTGCAGAGTAGAAAAACCTTGAGAACTTTTTAAAATCCTGATACTCAGGCTGCATCCTAGATCAATTCAATCAGGATCTCTGAGGATAGGACCCAAGCCTGTGTATTTTTTTAAATTGCATAGGTAATTGCAATGTTAGCCAAGTTTTAGTCTCAGCAGCAACATAGTATGCAAATCAGGCAAAAGCTGAGTCAGCAGGTGTGTATTTCAAACATACTTTGACTCCATGACAAACTTCCAAGGCCTTCTAAGAAGTTACATGCATTAAGACAGGAAAATATTTAAAAGCTCTTAGTACCAAAAGAAATAGAAATTAGAATGCATGGAATGCAATGACCAGGAGGAGGAAAGTGTTCTTCTTAGGCTACAAAATCTGGCTGGGCTGAGCACAGTGGCTCACACCTGTAATCTCAACACTTTGGGAGGCCAAGGTGGGAGGATCCCCTGATCCCAGGAGTTAGAGACCAGCCTGGGCAACATAGTGACACCCCATGTCAAAACAAACTTAATGGGCAGCTAAAGGAAAGGATGAATAGTGCTTAAGGTCCATAATGCCAGATGGTTCTCTGTGTGTTTTCCCCTAATAGTTAACTTTAAAACAAGTTTCTTCTGGGACCTTTATTTGGGGACTTCAGAAGGTTGTTAGGAACATGTCATCCTCAAAACAGAAAATATGCAGCAGTGGGCTTCATAAGGCTCATTTAAAAAAATAACATGACTTGATGAAACTAAAGGAAAAATGCCAAAACAAAACTTGATGGAAACAGTCTTGCCAAAAGAGGGGCAACAAGGCTATATTGTGGCCAGATACCCCTTTGAGAGCCTACTTTATTCCTTTTTGTTTCTAGGATTAAGAACTAGAATACAGAGCAGGACTTCTTTAGTTGGTGTTTTTGGTTCCATTGGGACAGTGGTTTTCAATCAGCAGTGGTCTGCTTTAAAAAA